TATATATATATATATATATATATATATATATATATGTAAGAGAAATTAAATATCCTCCTACTTTTATTCCTAACTAGCTTATAGCCCGTGCGGAACCACGGTTACAAAAATATTTAAATATTTATAGTAAAAATTTATAATTATTAATCAATTATTTTCAATAAATTATTAATTAAGAGATTCGGTGTTTGATGATTTATATTATCGTACAAATAAAAATCTTCTTATTTAACGGGATAAAAAATATAATGGAAATCAAAATCTCATCATTTACATGATATATTACACAGAAAATAGGAATTGCAATTTAAAAAAGGAAGAAAAACATATATTTATGTCGTAAATATGTTTAATTTTTGAAAATTAATATTATATGTGAACTAATTATATGCGTAATATGCAGGGATTATATAAATCATAAGCTAAATTGTAAAATAGAGCTCGAGGTAATTATGGTATGAACGAAAGATATAATGATAATTCAATGTTTTATAAAATTAAAGGATTTCATATTAAAGAATTGCATTAAATATAATGATAAGTAACAAATTTTTAGAAGAGCTCTGATATATTGACATTTGACAAACATTAAATTTGGAACTTTAGAAGAATGATATGTGTAGAAGCAAAACTATTCTTTTATTAGTCATGAGATATGAAATATTATCTTACTACCCATTGAAAATGATCACAAACATAATAAAATATAATTAATTTTATGAAAACACCATTTTATATAATTAGAAAGATAAATAGGTAGAAAAAATTTCACTTTTTTTTATTTCTCTAAATAAATTACCTTATTTTTTCTTTCTCTCTTACGAAAATGGGACGCTCGATCACGCATTTCTTAAGCTGTCTTTGACCTGGTTTAGACCATGACCACCTTTCTAGGCTCCTTGATGACCAATAGCCAATACGCAATAGGTATTCATCTCAAATTGACTTCCTTTTCCATTTTACCATTTTGCCCTTCTTCTTAGATTAATAATCATATCACACCTCTATAAATGTAACTTCTCTTCCCTCCCTGCAAAAAGCTTTCGTTCTTCCCCACAGGTCAGTATGCTACACTGATTCTCACTTTAGTTTCTGCAAATTAGGGTTTCCATGTTTTACTTCAATCTAAGTTCATCATCATTCTGTTTGTAGATAATTTTTTAGCTAAAACATTAGGTACAGAACTTGCATTGACCGAATTCACATCTCGTTTCATCTTACGTTGAAAAGCTAGCAAAAGTGTTAGTTTATAACGCGTTTCACTTGATTATAGAGTAGTTTGAGTTATGTAGATTGTACGTGTTCTATTTCTGTAACTTCGAGATCGTTTAATTGAGAGATTTTTTACTGGTACTGTTGATTGAAGCAAGTGATTGAGGAAGATGTTTGTACGAGTACTTTATTTCTGCAAGGATCGCTTCATTTGTTGAATGTTGTGTTAATGAATATAGAGAACTGCTGTTAGAACTGCAATTGCCGTGTGATACACTCAGATTTCACTGCTGAAGAACTTTATGCTGTAATTGATGAGGTTTTTGAAACTTTTATGATGCTGGATTTTCGAGATTGTAGTATAGTATGTAGGTGCTCCGGATTTGCTTCTTCAATAACATGCATGATCATGAATTGCGATCTAGTTTTAACTGATTCTTCTAATAGAGACGAACTTACTGATAAAATTTTGCACCACATTACGTTTTACTTTGCTTCAATAATCCTAGCAGCAAAAACT